TTTTTTTTGCGCAAATTTTGTATTAAATAAAACTTAACAAACATTAGACAATATTTATTTAGGCACGTTCAGAACTACTTTAAAGTAATTTAAGTGAACATACGACAATATTAGGGAGCTAATTTGAGCTAGTTCAAAAATGACTAGATGTTTCAATGTGAAATATCTCGAAAACGGTGACAGATATCGACTTTGAACAAGTACACATTTTTTGTTTAAAAAGTATCGTAGAATGTGATTTTAGCAACCGTATGACCATATTTGAAACCGCACTTTGTTCTTCTGGAGTATAGGTGGAGTTATAGGTAGAGGCCATCTTTTGGCCTCTTGAATCACAATGATTTATTACAAATTTTTCCACTGAGAAAAAATCGGGTAACGGATCGTATCGTCGGCTATTTTTGGAGTACCTATAAAAGTTATTGTTAATTCAGTCCAAACCCCGCTATCCGAACATACCTACAAATATTTAGGAAAATCCAGACTTAGAAGGTCTATTAAAATACATTTATATTCTGAATATATCGAATACTAACTAATTCCTATTTTCATGTTACTTATGATCATTTATCATCGGCTTACAACTGAAGTATGCAGAATTGCTATGACAGTGGTCTTATCCGGGTCTTAGGATCCTGTTTACATAAGGAATTATGACCCGGAAAACTTTCTTAAGCAGTGCGTATTTTCCGACCGTCTTAGTTGAAGAACATATTGATTCTATAATTCCACATTGTGCATTCAGCGAACAAACTTCTGATTTTGTACATTTGCTATTCCTTATTCCAATAACTAAAAACTTCTTCAGAATTAATAAGTGAATCATGACAAAATTCTGATTTAAGCCGATTTCCAATATATTGGAATTTGGATATGTTTACCCAAAATATTGGATATCTTTTGGTCATTAAGAGTCATATTCCAAACATTCTTTCCAACGTTTTATGTAATTTCTTTCACATTTCTGATTCCTACATAGTTTAAAAATATACATTATTATTGAATAAGCTAGGGTACAAAATGAATGCGTAATACATAAAAGGCTTACCTTCAACTAAGCTTAGATGTTATTGTTATGTATTATGTTATGTTTAAGCAATGTTATTTTTGGCATGATCTTTTATTAATTCAAAATAAATAAATAATTATGTTTATTATATTTCCCTAACCTTCCATGCAAACAACTTCGCCACTAATTAATTTTCTACTAATCCAATTTGGTTCCTAAAATTTAAAACTGTATGTAACATTTCCTTCCGAAATTTGTTTATCAATCTTTTGAAAATCTCTTTTTTCGTCTTTACAATTTCAGCATTAATAACTTTTTTATTACTTCTTTAACCCCCAGGTCACTTCATGGAACAGGAAATCGATTCTACGTATAACTCAACTGCATGCGTTAGTAGTCCGAAGGCATTTGTACAAAAATGTATTCGAGAAACCATAGAGTAGACTTACAAATAATAATTAATCTAAAGCTGGGTTCTCATGAGTTCGGAATGCGGAATGCGGAAAACCTTCCGACCAATCAGAAGTTTGCCGGATGCGTTAGCTCCGCCCATCCGCAGAAGTTCCCAAATTTTAATATTTTCCGCATGGCGGGCGGAAGAATGTGAAAACCTATGTTATATCCAGTGATGCTCCAGTGAATGGTTATGTTCAACGGCGTCTATTCGACTGTCTTTCATTTTGATGTCTTTGTTTCCTTCTTTTTAGAACGTGCAAAGACAAAAGCAGATTTTGCTTTTGGTTTCAAACGTTCATTTTATGCACCTCAAAATACTGGCAAGAAAAAATGTAGGAAAAAGAGTTCTATAGTGTCTCGCTTCCCGAAAGATATGCCAACACTGTCGGCGGAATGCGGAAAAATAATCCGCATTTATGTGAACTGCGTGATATATTCCGCGGGTAGTAATGATAGTAGATAGTAGGCTGCGCGCACACTTTTCGCACCCCGCAAAGAATTCCGGACCCATGAGAACCAAGCTCTAAGCAACTACAAGATGCGGAAAGCTTCAATTTATAATTTTAGGCGAGTGCTTTGAATTTTCTTCAAGGCTCCTACACGTAAAGTAGATCTGGTTAAAAGAGCCGTCACCTCTCAGAACACTTATGGGACAGTTTGCCGCAACTCTTGATTCTTCACCAAAGCATTAAAAAAAAACGCATTTGTTGCCGCTTTTCGACGGTGTAACAAAGTTTTTGAAATTCTAAAGAAAGACTAACATAAAGAGTGCACTTGTATGACATGTTATAAGAAAGTATTACACACTTTTAGATTACGAACTAGTACTTTCTTTGTTATGCTTATTGCAATAATAGATATGTATCAGTGAAAAATGAGTAGAAAATGTGCATCAGGATAGATCTGCAGATACAGTTAGGATATGTGAACATGCAGGGTGTCTCACGGTCACCGTCCATTACCTCCGGTTACACCGGAAGTTGTTATACCAGAACTTGCTTATTTTAAATCGAACACGCTGTATAATGTTTTTGCTTGTGTTCGTTTCTACCATACTCTATCCGTTTCTGAGCGTAAAATGCAAATGCAATTGCAAAATTAAATATTATTGTGCTCAATAAATGTTTGCAATTTTTGGTTATTTTTTCGAAAAAAAAAAGAAAAAAGTTTTTGTTTGTTTTTTCTCAAAATGCATTCTGAAAGATTTTTGATAAAAAATTGATTTGAGTTTCATGGCAATTTGTTTTAGTAAGAATTTTTTACTTATTTCTCTTAATACTTTTCTGCGTATCCAGCCTCAGCTGGAAATTTGAAATTCAGCAAAAGCGAGATAATATCAATGTTGGTATTGTTAACAAAATTCCAGGGCATTTGAGGTCGAAAATTCGATTATTTGAAAAACATATTTGAGTATACTGGGTTGAAAGAGCACAATCTTCTGTAAAACCGGCTTTTTAGACAATTCAAATCGCTTAAGAAACGTAAGATTTGAACATCGAGCAAAACAATTTTCTATTTTACACTTTAGCCAAACTGGAGATGGATTTAAGTGCCAAACGAGAAGCTTCTCGAGAAGAATGGATAATAAGATTATTATTACACAGGCACTAACTTGCTTAAAAGCTTGGAGTTACAAACTCAAATGTATGTTTATTTGTAAACATTTCAATTCAAGGTTATAAGGATAATAATTGGCATTTCGAACAAGTACGTTCCGACCTTCAAGGAATCCTGTTGAATTTACCGTTTATCTTTGCCTATTTCAAAGTCACTTGCTGTATAATTCCATGCTTATCGGAGTTTTTAATAATTACGAAGCAACTTGTATTTACGTACTGTTAATTAGGCAAATTACCTTGAAAAACATTGTTGCCGTCTTCCTGACATAGTTTTTTTGCAAATTTCTCAGTTTTTACTAACAATTAATTGTTTAACAATTTTTTCTGTACGCCTAAAACACCGGCAGACAACACCTCCAGAGGAATGACGCTAATTTTGAATCACCTTGTGTATAGCACCTGCAAGTAACGATTTTGCTGTTGTTGCTTGAACAGTTTTAATTGAAAGGCAAAATAGTTCATTTTACTAATAGTACTCTTTTGCTGATTATGATAAATATGTGGCATTAATCAGTAGTGAAGTATTCCGATTTTCAAAATTAAAATGTTCAATTCAATACCCGAAGGAATGAAACCTGCACATGAAGGAACACTATTATTGCATGAGTTTTTTACAAGACTGCATAATTTGCCCACAGATCTACTCAACTTTCCTTTGTAATATCACTTTAACATCATCTTTCGTTGTTTACAAAAATGGTTGGAACTTATATCACAGCTTGATGTTAAAGCAAATTTTTCTAATTTGAATTTAGAAAAGGTAATAAATATTAATGTACTAGTGCAATTATGCAATTGGTAGAGAAAAGTTTCGAGAATTGTTAGTAACCGGGATTTGAGTATACCTTAGATCCTAGACTATAACCAAGAAGGAATGAGCGAGGTCGGCGGGTGGCAGTAGGTATTTGATTGATGAGTACATTTGTTTGAACAAGTACGCTGCTGCGGGGCCATAGCAGTCGGTGGAGCGGACCGTCGAGTGTTTGCTCAAAGGGGGCGCAACCAAAGTGCACCCCAAATTGGATACTCCAGGAAATGCATTCGGATTAGAAAGCATACATTAAAAACTATGCGAATGGTGTAACTATTTTGTAAATAATGCAGCAAATTATTTTTGAATACATACTGCAGTCTGAAAATTATAAGTCAATTAGTCGCCAGAATCAGTTAGCGCCATACTTTGAAATAATATGCGAGTTCAATTACTGATGGGGGCGCTGCAAAATATCAACATTACTCTCTATTTTTAACTGCAAAAATCATATGAATACATTGGTGATACCTGCTTGACATCCCATATTTTCACCTTTGCTTTTAAATTTATAAGAGAAAATACAATACTGGCACACTTTTCAATAAGTTTATATTTATTTAATGATTACTTATTCTTCCTTTCGA